AAGTGTTTTGAGAGGGTGTGGTAGGTAAGTATGGGGTACCAGGTGTAAATGATAATGGGGAGCATTTAATTGAACTTTGTATAGAAAAGGGTTGGGTTATAGTAACACATATTTTAAGAAAAAGAGGATAAATAAGTATACAAGATATGATACAGGGCTTAACCCTTTGAGGGTTTCGGCCGTACTAGTACGGCTTACGACCCAGGGTTTTTGACGTACTAGTAGGCCTAAATTCTAGCGCCCTCAAATCTAGCGAGAGAAAGCTGGTAGGCCTACATATGAAAAAATGGGTCCATGTGGTCAGTGTGCGCAGTATAAAAAAAATCCTGCAGCACACAGTGCGTAATGAGAAAAATCCTGCAGCACACAGTGCGTAATGAGAAAAAAAAAACTTTGACCGTGTTTTTGGAATAAAACAGCGACTTTGCACTGTATTTTCATATGGTATTTATTGTTGTATTCTAGTGTTCTTGGTCTCATTTTATAGAATGGAAGACATATTACAGAAATTGAGATGATTTTGACTGGTTTTATAATGAAAAGTACCTTGAAATTGAGCGCAAAGTAGCAGAAATGTTCGATTTTGATCAAAGTTCAAAAGTAAACAAATCATGCCAAGCGTCCAATACACGTCAACTGGTGAGTCTAATATTCTTTCACAAGTGCGCTGATATTATTTATACCATTTCTACACTAATGCAGTAGTCTGCATAACAGTAAATCTTCTATTTTTTGTAAGAATAAAAATTCAAAGTGGAAAGCCAAATAAATATAAGAGGGGCCTGGGGATGTGACTAACGAACAGAGAATTTGTTATTTTAGTGCCAGGAATGTCTTTCTTGTTTATTCTGGACCCTGTTCGGAAATTGGCATCTTTTGAAATTTGTGTGAAATTGGCAAAATTGCTAAATTATGACCACTTTATTGGATAGTTGAAATTGGTAAATGGGTGGTTTCTTGTACTCATTCGATAGAAAAAATGGATTTCTAGCGAAATAGTTATGATTTTTGTCTACTAGTTTATTGGAATTGGCCAAAAATAGGGCTCAAAGTGGGCAAAATCACCGATGCATAAACATCGTCGAGACCGCTAACTGCGCGAGAGCATAATTCCGTAAGTTTTCCTTCAAATTTCATACTTTTGGTGTCATTATGATCGGGAAAAGATTCTCTATCTTTTCATAAGAAATTTTTTTTTTTTTTTTTTGAAATTTTGCCGACTCTGAGAACAAGTCTCGGAGAGGGCCTGTCGACCCTCAAAGGGTTAATGACAGTAGTTTGTTGGACTACATATTGGTAGATAAAAGACTGTTGGGTAGACTTCAGGATGTACATGTTTATAGAGGGGCCACAGATATATCAGATCACTTTTTAGCTGTAGCTACAGTGAGAGTAAAAGGTAGATGGGATACAAGGAAAATGGAAGCAGTAAGTAAGAGGGAGGTGATGGCTTATAAATTAACCCCTTCAGGGTCCAAGGCCAAAATCTGAAGTGTCCAAGAATTTTCCAAAAAAAAAAATTTGTTATTTTTTCTTATGAAATGGTAGAGAATCTTTTTGTGAAGGTAAAAAAACAAAAAGCACGAAATTTGATGGAAAATTGACGAAATTATGCTCTCACGAATTTTGATGTGTCAGCGATATTTACGAATCGGCGATTTTGCCGACTTTGACTCCCATTTTAGGCCAATTACATCATTCCAGTCGACCAAATTCTTAGCTATTTCATTAGTATTACTTCTATTCTATCGATTGAGCACAAGAAATCGCCAAATCAACTGTTTCAACTACAAAATAAAGTGATCGGAAATTGGTAATTTGGCCAATTTAACACAAAGTTCAAAATTTCCAATTTCAAAATAGCATCCAGAAAAAACAATGTAGGCATTTCTGGCACTAAACTAACATTTCCTCTATTCATTAGTTATGTTTTGAGGCTTTACAAATAAATCCCATTTTGATTTTTTATTCACATAATGCATTTTTATTCACACCAAAAAATAGAAGATTTACTGTTATGCAATATTGTAATAATTGTATAAATATCATCACCACATTTGTGAATGTATATTAGACTGGCATGTATTAGACGTGTGAGGTCATTTGTTTACTCTTGAACATCGGCCAAAATTTAGCATTTCTGCTACTTTGAGCTTAGTTTCAAGCTATTTCCAGTGCTAAAATCAATCAAAATCATCTCTATTTCTGTAATATATCTTCCATTCTATCAAATGAGACCAAGAAATTGCAAATACAACTATAAAAAACATATGAGAAAACACTGCAAAGTTGCTGTTTTAATCGAAAATCTTCGTTTCAGTTTTTTTTCTCTCATTATACACAGTGTGCTGCAGGATTTGTTTTATATGGTGCACACATACCACATAGATGTATTCTCTCATATCTAGGCCCAAATGTACCACTCACAGTTTATCAGAGTGAGCTGAGCTCATGACGTAGATCTACGGTTTGGACCCTGAACGTAAAGCCGTAGATCTACGGGACGGACTCTGAAAGGGTTAAAGGAGGAAACAGTTAGAGTAAGATATAAACAACTGTTGGAGGAGAGATGGGCTAGTGTGTGTATAGGCAATGGAGTAGAAAATGTATGGGGTAAGTTTAAGAATATTGTGTTCGTGTGTTCAGCAGAAGTTTGTGGTTACAGGAAAGTGGGTGCGAGAGGGAAGAAGAGTGACTGGTGGAATGATGATGTAAAGAGAGTAGTAAAAAAGAAAAAGTTAGCATATGAGAGGTTTTTACAAAGTAAAAGTGATGTAAGGAGGGAGGAGTGCATGGAGAGAAAAAGAGAGGTTAAAAGAGTGGTGAAGTAATGTAAAAAGAGAGAAAATGAGAGAGTAAGATGTTATCAACAAATTTTGTTGAAAATAAGAAAAAGTTAAGAGTGAGATTAATAAGTTGAGAAAGCCTAGGGAACAAATGGATTTGTTAGTTAAAAATAGGAGAGGAGAGTTATTAAACAGAGAGTTATGGATATCAGGAAGATGGAGGGAATATTTTGAGGAATTGTTAAATGTTGATGAAGATAAGGAAGCTATGATTTCATGTATAGGGGGAGGAGGAATAGCATCTTTTAGGAGTGAGGAAGAACCAGTTGTGGGTGTGGAGGAAGTGCGAGGGGCAGTGGGTAGAATGAAAGGGGGTAAAGCAGCTGCGATTGATGGGATAAAGATAGAAATGCTGAAAGCAGGTGGGGATATAGTTTTGGAGTGGTTAGTGCTTTTATTTAATAAATGTATGGAAGAGGGTAAGGTACCAAGGGATTAGCAGAGAGCATGCATAGTTCCTTTGTATAAAGGCAAAGAAGACAAAAGAGAGTTTAAAAATCATATGTGGAATAAGTTTGTTGAGTATACCTGGTAAAGTGTATGGTAGAGTTATTACTGAAAGAATTAAGGGTAGGATGGAGAACAGGATATCAGATGAACAAGGAGGCTTTAGGAAAGGTATGGGGTGTGTAGACCAAGTGTTTGCAGAGAAGCTTATAGATGAACAATATTTAGATAAGGGTAAAGAGGTTTTTGTGGCATTTATAGATTTGACAAAGGTGTATGATAGGGTGGATAGTAGGGCAATGTGGCAGATGTTGCAAATGTATGGAATAGGGGGTAGGTTATGGAAAGCAGTGAAGAGTCTTTATGAAGATAGGTTCTGGTTAGAGTATGTAGGCGAGAAGGAGATTATTTCTCAGTAAAAGTAAGCCTTAGACAGGGATGTGTGGTGTCACCATGGTTGCTCAATATATTTATAGATGGAGATGTAAGGTGTGGGGTTAAAAGATAAAGAATCTAACACAAAGTGGGAGTTGTCACAGTTGCTCTTTGCTGATGACACTGTGCTTTTGAGAGATTCTGAAAAGAAGTTGCAGAGGTTGGTTGATGAGTTTGGTAGGGTATGTAAAAGAAGGAAATTAAAAGTGAACATAGGAAAGAGTAAGGTGATGAGGATAAAAAAAATAAGTAACTGAAGATTGGATATCAGATTGGAGGGAGAGTGTATGGAGGAGGTGAATGTATTCAGATAATTGGGAATGGATGTGTCAGCAGATGTGTTTATGAAAGATGAGGTGACTCATAGAAATGAGGAGGGGAAAAAGGTGAGTGGTGCACTGGGGAGTTTGTGGAGACAAAGAACTTTGTCCATGAAAGCAAAGAGGGGAATGCATGAGAGTATAGTTATACCAATGCTCTTGTATGGGTGTGAGGCATGGGTTGTGAATGTTGCAACAACGAAAAGGCTGGAGGCAGTGGAGATGTCATGTCTGAGGGCAATATGTGGTGTGAATATAATGCAAAGAATCCTTGGTTTGGAGATTTGGAGGAGGTGTGGGATTACCAAAACTATTATCCAGGGGTCTGAGGAGGGTTTATTGAGATGGTTTTGACATGTAGAGAGGATGGAATGAAATAGAATGACTTCGAGAGTGTGTACATCTGTAGTGGAGAGAAGGCGGGGTAAGGGTTGGCCTAGGAAAGGTTGGAGGGATGGGGTAAAGGAGGTTTTTTCTGCGAGGGGCTTGGACTTCCAGCAAGTGTGCATGAATGTGTTAGAAGCAAATGGAGACAAATGGTGTTTAGGACTTGACATGCTGTTGGAGTATAAGCAAGGTAACATTTATGAAGAGATTCAGGGAAACCGGCAGGCCAGACTTGATTCCCAGAGATGGGAAGTACAGTGCCAGCACTCTGAAGGAGGGGTGTTAATGTTGCAGTTTTATAACTGTAGTGCAGGCATGCCTCTGGCAAGACAGTGATGGAATGAATGATGATGGAAGTTTTTCTTTTTGGGCCACCCTGCCTTTGTGGGAAATGGCTGATGTGTTAATAAAAAAAATAAATAACAAGGCAGGTGTGAATATCATTCTTTATAACAGTTGTGACCAGAAATACAGGGGAGAGACTTTTCATAATGTACAGATCAGGTTGAGAGAACACCTGTGTCTGCACGACTTATAACTTGAATAACGTATATGTTATGCACAGGTACCAAACTGCTTGCTGGATGTCTTGGAAGGATGCCCAGCTGGTCATTAAGGAAATCAACAGAATGCTACCCAGATGCCAGAAAGCTTTTCTAATTCAAACACAAAATATAATCTAGCACAATCGAGGAGCTTTCAGTTTAGCCAAAGCTCTAGTCCAATTTTCATTTTATAACATATCAGCTGTTTCTCACTGAGGCAGGGTGACCCAAAAAAGAAGAAAGGAAAGTTTTTCTTCTTTCTATATTTAGTAATTTATACAGGAAAAGGGGTTACTAGCCCCTTGCTCCTGGCATTTTAATTGTCTTAATTGCCTCATATGATATGCATGGCTTATGGAAGAAGAAGACTTCTCCACTTCCCCATGGAGTCATAGTACAATTTATCTCCCATAAACAGATCATCAAAAGGACTGGTAAGCCTTCTGCAGTGCTCCATTCACAATTCGACTTGCTCAGTGAGCTTGTTAACCTGACCACTCACCTGACTGCACTTTTATAAATTTGCTTGTTGTGCTTTCCTGTGTAGTGACCAAAAAAGCCTGTTTACAGGCGAAATGTCTCGATAAAGTTCTCTGCAATTGTGTCTTCACCACTTCTCAACTTTGTTCCATTTGTCTCCACCTCTCACTAGTGAGGTATATCTGTTTCCTCTCTCACATGATAGAATAGCACATCACTAGTGAGTATATCAGTGTTTCTTCTCTCGCATGATAAACTAATACCTCACTAGTGAGGTATATTGGTGTTCTCTCACACTAATAAACTAATCACTCACTATGCAGGTTTATCAACATTTGCATTTTGGTTTATATATTGTTAAGCCAGGTTTAAGTCAAAAAAATAACAATAAAATTCTCATTCAAATATGTTTTCCACATTCTTTGGGGCTTTACATATTCTTAAAAATAATGAAAAGGGAGTTTGATGCCTAAAATAATGTTAACTTTTTGTCCTTCCTCAGCTGATTTGAGAAAATTAAAAACTTTGTGCTTACAGTGAAAACTGTTGCCTACCCTTATCATGCTCTGTAGTTTTGTCACTTGCCCTTTTATCAAGACAATGACTGAATGCATGACAGTGAAAGTGTTTTTGTCTTTGTTGGGTCACCCTGCCTTGGTGGGAGACAGCTGGAGTGTTAAAAAAAAATCTTAGAAATTGCCAGGTAATTTCTCGTATATCTTGATTTTCCTTCTATGTTCTTGTTATTTTTGCACATTCATTTCCAGTGGAAATAGATGGTCTTGGCTCTGTTCATACACTTGCTGTGCTCCTGGGTAGATATTTTCATACATGTGAGCTGGTGCACTTGAAGGTCAGCAGCTAAGAAACTTGCAGTACTTCTGTCTAGACATGAACACATACATACTCATAGATTTTGGAAGCAATACTTGTGTGGTGAAATATACATGCAGTATCATGCATTCTGATGGTCACAAAGCTGAACTTATATTTTTAGCAAATGAGTTACTGTTTATTTCTTGGTTAGCTTAGCATGTCTAAAAGGGCCTGTTGTATATCAGTTTTCTTCACTTTGAATTTGCTTCAATCTGCAATGCCTCTATTTGTTTTTGTTTTATTTTTATTTAAAAGGAAGTACAAAAATGACATCTGTATTGATCTGTTATAATGGTATAAATTTCTTCTTTAATTGGCAGCTCCCCAGGAATCAGCAGGTACATAATGCTCTTGCAAGAGTGTCTTTATTATTACTTAGTAGTATACTTGGTTTGCTTAGTTTACTTACTAATTGGTCTTAGATATGCATTATGTTGTCTTTTAATGTTTTGTCAAACTAATATTGGTTGCCATTTTGAGGACTAGCACTCACTACAAGAACCATGATTATTACTGTACAAAAGAAAGATACCTTCAAGGAAATACAGTAGACCCTCGGTTATCAGCCGTAATTCATTCCAGAAGGTCGGCCTGAAACCGAAATGGCCGAAAACCGAAATAATATGTCCCATAAGAATTAATGTACATCCAATTAATCTGTTTCAGACACCCAAAAATAACAAAAAATACATTTTTTAAAGATTAACAATACTTTTACATACACAAAACTATGAGAACTAAATAAAATGACTAATGAAATGGATAAATGAACATTTAAATCACTTTTACCTTTATTGAAGTCTTGTTGGCGTGTGCAAAACAGCTAGGAGTGGAGAGGGAGGCGACTTTATTGTTTGGAAACAGGACAAAATGCTTCAATATGATACTATTATCAACTCCATGGCTTATTTATCTATCACAATTCATCTAATATGACATAATAAAATAAACAATATTAATAACATAGAAACATGTTATATACTCTAGAATGAATAACATACATCATTACATATATGAGGACTGGTGGTGGTGCTGTTGGGTTTATAAGAGCCACTGACAGCATAAGCCGTATATATAGTGGTGGTGGTGGCGGTTCTGCTGCAGAGGCGTCGCTAGAGTTGGTGTCACCTGGGGCGGAATCTCTGGTGTCACCCGGGGCAGCATCTTTGGTGTCACCCCCATGAAATTCAAGGGTGGGGGGATGAGGGTAAACTCCAGTTACGTCACTACTGCATGACCAGTGACAAATGTTTAGCAATGAGAACGTTTAAGGGCCATAAACTGAACAGGAGAATACTTCTCAACTTTATTCATGATAAAATAAATAATCATAATAATATTGAAGAAACATAAACGCAAATACCACTTTGAATACAGCCAACAGATTCTACATTTATTCATCTTCAACAATTCAAAAACAAAACAAAAAAAAAAAAACTTGAAAAATAAAGAAAAACATTGCAATATCAGAAAAACACTAGTTCCAATATGACCTTGAGTACAGGTAACATCACAGTAAATCTGATCTTATATTTCCTTGCCTTCAATTATGCAAAATCATCTATCACATCATCAAAATCAATCTATCAAATCATCAAAATCAACGAAGGCTTCTTCTCTTATGTTGGTGAGGCACTGTTTTGTGCATTAGTGTCACCTTCTTTAGAGGCTCTATGGTGTCACCCGGTGTGCCCCCCCCCCCTCCTTACAATGCCTCTGGGTTCTGTTGCCACCACTATTCACACAAACAATGTACGTAATTTATAAATAAGAGATATTTACACTTTAATTTATAAATTAGAAATCTTTCTTTCAACACACCGGCCATATCCCACCGAGGCGGGGTGGCCCAAAAGGAAAAACGAAAGTTTCTCCTTTCAAATTTAGTAATATATACAGGAGAAGGGGTTACTAGCTCACGGCATTTGTCACCTCTTACAACACACATGGCTTACGGAGGAAGAATTCTGTTCCACTTCCCCATGGAGATAAGAGGAAATAAACAAGAACAAGAACTAGAAAGAAAATAGCAGAAAACCCAGAGGGGTGTGTATATATATGCTTGTACATGTACGTGTAGTGTGACCTAAGTGTAAGTAGAAGTAACAAGACATACCTGAAATCTTGCATGTTTATGAGACAGAAAAAAGACACCAGCAATCCTACCATCATGTAAAACAATTACAGTGGACCCCCGCATACCGTTGGCCTTACATAACGTTAAATCCGCATACCGATACGTTTTATCGCTAAGATTTTGCCTCGCATACCGCTAAAAAACCCGCTCAACGCTGCTCGTCCGAGACGCGTCTAATGTGCGGCCTTAGCCACCCTCACATGTTCCGCCGGTGGCATTGTTTACCAGCCAGCCTCCGCGGTAACATCCAAGCATACAATCGGAATATTTCGTATTATTACAGTGTTTTTGGTGATTTTATCTGCAAAATAAGTGACCATGGGCCCCAAGAAAGCTTCTAGTGCCAACCCTACAGGAATAAGGGTGAGAATTACTATAGAGATGAAGAAAGAGATCATTGATAAGTATGAAAGTGGAGTGCGTGTCTCCGAGCTGGCCAGGTTGTATAATAAACCCCAGTCGACCATCACTACTATTGTGGGCAACAAAAAGGCAATCAAGGAAGCTGTTCTTGCCAAAGGTTCAACTGTGTTTTCGAAACAGAGATCGCAAGTGATGGAAGATGTTGAGAGAGACTTATTGGTGTGGATAAATGAAAAACAGATAGCAGGAGATAGCATCTCTCAAGTGATCATAAGTGAAAAGGCTAGGAAGTTGCATCAGGATTTAATTAAAAAAATGCCTGCAACTAGTGATGATGTGAGTGAATTTAAGGCCAGCAAAGGTTGGTTTGAGAGATTTAAGAAGCGTAGTGGCATACATAGTGTGATAAGGCATGGTGAGGCTGCCAGTTCGGACCACAAAGCAGCTGAAAAATATGTGCAGGAATTCAAGGAGTACATAGAAAGTGAAGGACTGAAACCTGAACAAGTGTTTAATTGTGATGAAACAGGCCTGTTTTGGAAGAAAATGCCAAGCAGGACCTACATTACTCAGGAGGAAAAGGCACTCCCAGGACATAAGCCTATGAAAGCCAGGCTTACTCTGTTGATGTGTTTCAATGCTACTGGTGATTGCAAAGTGAAGCCTTTATTAGTGTATCACTCAGAAACTCCCAGAGCGTTCAGACAAAAGAATATCCTCAAGGCTAATTTGTGTGTGCTGTGGAGGGCAAACAGTAAGGCATGGGTCACTAGGGACTTTTTCTATGACTGGTTACACCATGCATTTGCCCCCAATGTGAAAGATTACCTAACTGAAAATAAATTAGACCTTAAGTGCCTCCTGGTGTTAGACAATGCCCCTGGTGATCCTACAGACTTGGCAGAGCGACTTTATGGAGACATGAAGTGCATTAAGGTGAAGTTTTTGCCTCCTAATACCACTCCTCTCCTGCAGCCCATGGACCAGCAGGTTATTGCAAACTTCAAAAAACTGTACACAAAAGCTGTTTGAAAGGTGCTTTGTAGTGACCTCAGAAACTCAACTGACTCTTAAGAGAGTTTTGGAGAGATCGCTTTAATATCCTCAATTGTGTAAACCTTATAGGTAAGGCTTGGGAGGGAGTGACTAAAAGGACCTTGAACTCTGCTTGGATGAAACTGTGGCCGGAATGTGTAGACAAAAGGGATTTTGAAG